AAGAAAGAAAGAAAGAAAGAAAGAAAGAAAGAAAGAAAGAAAGAAAGAAAGAAAGAAAGAAAAAGTTAAGCCAGAGATTTTCATTGTAAAAGTAGGAGCTGTCAAAATGAAAATCTCACTTTCTTAGAAATGATTTTCTGTGTAAAATGTTAGGGGGCCATAAGCCAGCCTATACCATAGTTCCTAGTCATGCTCTACCAATATCCCTGACCCAGGATATACCATCGTTCCTGGGCCATGCTCTACTGATATCCATGAACCTGACTACATGGATGTCTCAGAGCCCATCTACACCAAGGTTCCTGAGCCAGGCTATACTGTGGTTACTGAGCCAGGCTGTACCATAATCCATGGTCCTTGTTCTATCAATATCCTTGAGCTAGACTGTACCATAGTCCCTGGACCATGCTCTGCCAATGTCTCTGAGCCAGGATATATTGATGTTCATGATAAGATATACACCAGGCTTCCTGAAGAATCACTTACAAGAGACAATCCAGGTCCACTGCAGTGGATGACCGGGCAAACATATTGTAGTCTAAATCCAGACTCCCAGCAAGCCAACCACCAGCTGCTGAACACTCTCTTCCTGTCTGTTTCTGTGTCTCTTTTGTATGGAGACCATGTACCCAACTGTTGTAACACTGAACCATACTATTGTTTTGTATTCTAAAAATATGTCTTATAACACCCTTCTCTACACCCTCTGAATTAGGCAGAAGGTCTTAGTCCTTGGGCAATCTTCATTTCCTCAGAGTTCATGTGAAGAGTGATTCTCTAAAGGAAGAAACGTATGTTTCCTATTTTGTCCATTAAATTACTTTTAACTCCACTCTTATTTCTGGGTGACATTTGCTGAATCTTACCCATTTCTTTGCCTCCCTTTGTGACTGATTAGGGTTGGTATAGATGTCCTCACACTAGTAACCATGAGCTTCCATGGATGCACATCGAGAGGAGGATTCCCTGGATAGCAGAAAGGTTATTGTACAATGGAATCCAGAGCCTGTCACCTTGCCAGGCACGGTTAAAATACAACTCTCCTCTTGTTCTGTTCCATCATTTCTGCTCCAAGTCACTAGTATTCCAGTATCCTGCCTACAAGTTCTTATGTATGTAAAAACAAATGAAATACAGTTTCATAGTCATTATAGTCTGTTTTCCTTCATTTTACCTTTCAGATACTCCAAAACATACAGACCCACACACTTTCACAAAGAGATGTATTGTTAATGCCCTGTTTGGTTTTTGTTAACTTCATACAAATGTAGATATGTCTAGGAAGAGGGAATCTTAGTTGAGAAAATGTCTACACAAGACTGGCCTATAGCCAAACCCTGCAGGACATTTTCTTGATTAATGGTGGGTGTGAAATGAACTAGCTCACTGTGGGAGGTGTTGCCCCTAAGCAGGTGGTCCTGAATTGTGTAAGAAAACAGGCTGAGCAAGCTAGGAAGAGCAGCCAGAAATCAGCATTCCTCCACAGTCTTCTGCTTTAGTTCCTACCTTGAGTTCCTGACTTGACTTCCTTCAGGAATGGAGTGTGACCTTAGAGTTGTAAGTGGAAATAAACCCAGAATATAAATGTCTGAAGCCCAGAGAATAAGTGTCTGTGTTATGCTCAGCCACAAATGGGACAGCTATGTCACACCATCAAGGCTCAGGGAAATCATGAGGATGGGGAAGAAATATTGTATGAAGACCTGATTGAAACACTGTCAGGACAACTTCACCCATGAACTCACAGCAATTATACAGTCCCTGCCAAGACCTGCAGGAGATCAATCCAGTAAACACTCCAGCATGGAAGGGAGGATGGCTCAGAAACACCACCCCTAGCTGAAGACCTATGGACAATTGATGGTTTTTGAGGAGGCAGATTAAGTTTTCTTTAAGGGTATGGCCTTTGGTAGGTGGACTAAGATCCAGTGGATGTACCTACCCCATGAGTGTATGAGCAGTACAAATTAGACTTAGTAGATTATAAAAGAAGATAAATAGATGATGTATATAAATAAATATATAAAGATGATAGATGATAGATAGATAGATAGATAGATAGATAGATAGATAGATAGATAGATAGATAGATGATAGATAGATAGATAGATAGATAGATAGATAGATAGA